GGTAGACCTTATTTGCTGCACGCGCCTCATTCCATTGGCGGTGGTGGTGGACGCAGGACTTTGTCCTCCTCCCGTATTTCCACCTTGTACCCCGCGGAGCTTGTCTGCTCCTGCCAGTGGTGCTTGCCGCTCGTTGGCCCCAGCCCACGCTGCTGGTGCAGGTACTCCTTTCCAGGCTGCACGTCTTGAAAGTGCTGAAATTGCTGTCGACTCACCTCAGGGTCGTACACCTCCTCCATGTAGGTCGCCACGTCTTGCCCCGTGTCCTTCGGGATCCCCATGCTATCATACTCGTAGCTGCGCGTGATGGTGAAGTTGTGGTGCTTCTCAAGCACATAAACGGCCCGCCGGGCCTCCTCAATGCACTCATCAATCAACAACTTCTCCGTCGCCATTGCCCGGCGTCGAAACGCAAACCGACAGTACGCAATCATGCTGCGTCGCCTGATACTTTTGAAGTTCATCAGACCCTTCAAAATATTGCGATACAAAAGGAGCACTAGACTCTTGTGCTCCGGCGTGGGGACGTACTCCCACGGCTCCCGCTTGCCTGTGTGCTCCTTTTGCCGTCGCTGCGACAGCAGCGCCGCTCCTGCCACCCCGCCGCGATGGCCACAGCGAAGCATGACAGACACCGCAGCCACCACTCTTCTCGGTAACTACACAATTGCAAAACACGAACACACGCACGGGCGGGGTTCTTTCTCTGCGCCTCTCACGCCAGGAGACGGTGCGAAGCCTGACCCGTCGCTGTACCCGCGGCGGAGGGCGCCCCTGCCTTTTTCTGCCTTGCCGTTCCCCTCGCCCCACCCCACACTTGCAAGGCACAACAACCCTCTACGGTTCCTCCTTTGTTTCCGCGCATGCAGACAGCATTGGAAACGGTGCAAGGAACCGTAGCGGGAAATGCATATATTTAGTTAAATAAAAAAAAGGGGCGAATGAAAAGTGAGGAGGAACTGTAAAAAAAAAAAACAGACGATCCGCGCACGCATTTGCCCGCACGGACCAAATGCAGCCCACCGCCGTGTAGATCGGCGCGAGTGAAGCGGGCTATGCAGTTATTACATATATGCATGTATACTCACCTACGTGCCTCTCAGTACGCCAGCAATCACACTACTGATGCCTTTTACTTCCTCACTTCCCTCTCTCCCGCGCTACACCTTTCATTTGCTCTCGAAACAATCGCAACCGCACGAATACTAAAACAAACAGGCAAAAAAAACAAACACAAAAGACAAAAACAACAACAACCAAAGACACACATCTAGTCACGGAGAAGCAAAGCCTCTATGCTTGCGTTTGTCCGCATCCTTTTTTTTTGTTTTTTGTTTTCTTTTTCTTTTTCATTTTGGGAGACGGCGAAGGAGTCGACTTTGGCAGGACGGCGACGCACCACATCAGCCAACGCCCACGCCACAAAGATATATATATATATATATATACGCACATAGTCGAAGCTGCGGCCGTGACAAAAGAAAGAAAAAAATTGTGCACGGAGGTTGCTGTATGCGTGTGAGCAGCCCATAAAAAAAGGGGAAAAAAACAAGAAGGCAGCCACAGTCCCTCCCACCCACCCGCATTCAAGAGACACGGAGGCACTGAGAAAAGAAGAGACGGATAGGACAAATAAAATATGGAGGAGGCAAAAAAGAGCAGAAATAAAAAAGAAAAGCATACGAAAAAAAAGGAAAAAGGGAGAGAAAAAAAAGGAAAATAAAGCTGCCTACACATGCCATGCGTTTTTTTTTTCCGCCCCACCTTCACTACTTCAGTGGAACACTCACACTTTGATGATACCGAAGAGCCTCTCTCCCCCCTCCAGGACAAATAATAATAATACTAAACGGCATTACATCTCTTCACGGCTTGGCCCCCATTAAAAAAAAAAAAAATTATTTATTTGCATTTGTAATGCTCCGCACGTTACTATCCCAACTGCTGGACCGACAATTCCTACACACACGCAGGGAGTGAGCGATTATGCGGGATGAGCACAGAGTAAGAGGGAGGGAATAAGCATCAAAGATGCAGCTATTGATGCGCCTCGTGCCATTTCGATCGCGCTCCTGCTCTCTCGCCTCGTCTGCTCCACACTGACCCACCGCTGCGGCGACTCAGAGGTCGCGAACGTTGCTGAAGAATGGGCAATTCGGGTTAAACCGCACCACGCCATCCTCGAGCATGAAGCACCGCATCGCCACTTCAGCCGAGGGTCTCTTGCTGTGATTTACCCCGAGAAGGGAGACGACAAAGCATGCAAAGGCCATTGAGTAGTTCTCCGCCAGGATGTCGTTGAGGATCATCGCAGCAAAACCCTCCTTCTTCGCCTCTTCGTACATGATGCGCACTGTCTGAACCGTCACACGCGCCGTGGCGAGGGCGTAGAGCAAACATCCGAGACTCCAGATATCACTGGCGGTCGTGGTCTGGCCACTCCAGCACTCTGGCGCAATGTAGGGGCGCGTCCCGCCACCGCGACCCGCGCGGCGTCGATCTTCCAACATAAAGGCCAACCCAAAGTCTGTCACAACAATCGGAATGATATCTTCCGAAAGCTTGACGGAGCAGCCGGGGCCGTAACATAGCGAGAAATGAGACTTTTTCCGCAATGGTGCACCGCCAGCGCCGCTTTTGCCGTCGTCGTCGTTGTCCGCTTCGGAGCTGTGCAGCTTCTCCCCGACGTACGCGTCGCCATCGTTGGGTTTCTCGGCAGCATCCTGAGGCAGTTTCCTGGAGATAAGAATGTTCTCCGGCTTAAGGTCACGGTGCACAATAGGTGGACGCTGCGCATGCAGATACTGCAACACGGAGGCAAGTTGATAGGCAATTGACAAGAGCTGCGGCTCGGTTAGGGCGTTTCCACGCATCGCAAATTCTGCCTCAGTCTCCCGCCCCAGACTACTATGGCTGCCACTTCCCAGGGCAAGGTCAACGTTGCTGTAGCTCAGCGACCCCGCCGTGGCGGGGCCTGACGCCTCGTTCGCACGATCGTGCGAGGATTGACACTGGGTGTCATGGCTATAGCTCTGCGAGGTTTTTCCGGGACGGAAAAATGAAGGTGTGTCGTCACTCTCCGACCCCACCCGCACCCACGCTGATGTGGTGAGATGATCCATCGCCTTCTTTGCATCCTCCTCTTGCGCCTTTATAAAGCGTGCCCATTCCTCATCCAGCTGGCGCTTTAGCTTGGCGTTGTGCTTCGCCGAGTGACGAAGAACGTAGCCACACAAGTCGCCCATAGGATGGTACTCCATTACGAGACACAAATAGCGTGTGTGCACTGGCCCAACTTCAGGCGTGCCAGGCGTCGTCAACCTAGCCATGACCTGGGCCACGGCAAGGGGCGGCTTTGCGACGGGCGTCGGTGATTTGTTGGTTGCGGACCTCAGAGGTAACGCCTTCCCCTCTTCACGTTGTTGTTGTTGTTGTTGCTGTTGTTGTTCCTGGTGCTGTTGGCGTGGGTGTTGAGCCTTGAGTGGCTCCTCATTCAATCGTACCGCAGCAGTAGCCACGTTAGACGGGGGACAAATCGTGTTCGCCGCGGCGTCTCGAGTAGGTTGTGGTTGCGGCAGTAATACAGGAGGCGTGGGTGCTGCTGGTGACGTTGTAGTTACAAGGCCGTTATTATGAATAACCGCAGTGGGGTTTGGCGGCGCGCCTGGCGCAGCAGAATCAATGGCGCTTTCGCTCATCCTCGCTATACGAGCCGCACGAACAGCATCGGCGACCGATCTCGGCTTTGTCATGGGTGCCAACTTGTTGGCCGCGTCGTTAGTGCCTGAAGCTGGGGAAATAAAGTTCTTGTATTGCATCGTCCCCACGGCGGGCTGCACGTACCGCAGCGGAGCATGCTTTGCGGTTTGCGTAGCGGCAACGCCGTTATTATTTACCGGGAGCCGCACGGTTGCTGGAAAGTTTCCCGTCTCCGCCAAGGCAATATCAAAGTCGGTGTAGTGAATACCACCACTTGGGGCATACGAGGTGCGCTTCTGAGGCACGGATAGACCTCCTTGCGGCGTGGTCGGTGCTGGTGGCGGGGCACCCGCGTATGAGACCTGCGCAAAGTTGCTGTAGTGCACCACCTTTCCTAGAGGGTGCGGCGGCATCCCCGCTGGAGACGTGGGCAAGACGTGCCCACTTGGGCTCTGTGGCCCGGGGCATCGAGGTGCGCCGCCGCCGCCGCTCGGCTCCTGCGGCGACCTGGAGTTTGCGCAGCCCGCCACAGCCGTCGACGTCGCGGGGGCCGGGGGAGGGGGAGGCGGAGGCGGAGGCCGTGGTGGGGCGCCCGCGGGCAGCTCGGCCTGCGCCCTCGCAAGCGCACCAGCATCAACGTCCGCATCATCCCTGTCCCACTTGGGGCTGTGACGAGTCCAAGACGCCGCGTTGGCAGGGGGCGATGCTTGCCCGTCTTCGGCACTTGACAGTGCCTGCTTTCTCGCTGCCGACGGGTTCTTGGCGCCTTGGATGGAACTCGCCGTCAAACGAGGCGGCGCGTTGGCAAACACGTGCCCCACTGAAGAAGGCGGTTGAAGATGTGGCACTTCCTGCGGCTTCGGCTCACGCAGTGGCGTGGGAGGTTGCCCCCCCGCTAACGTCATGACCACGCGTGGGGTGTGCGCCGCCCGATTTATCCCAGCGGCGTTCCTCTGCTGCGGTGGTGATGGTGGTGCGGCTACTGCGGCTGGTGCTGGGGGCGTTAGGACACTTGCGGCCTCAGGTGAACTGCGCAGGTGCCCCCCATCAAATTCGTAGTTCATAAACATATCCACCAGGCGAATAATGTTCGGGTGCCCCTGCAGCGAGTTAATCGTCTCGCACTCCCCAATGGCGTCCAGCCGCTCCTTGTTGTCTTTGCACACCAGATACTTCAGCGCAAACAGCTGCCCTGTGGATTTGCGTTTGACCAGATACACGGAAGAAAATGCCCCCTCCCCAATTCGCTGCAGCACCTCGTAGCGAGACCATTGTGTGGTGTTTTTCACCAAACTGTCTCGCTCCGATTTTGGGTTGGGACGGGTCGGCGGTGTCGTGGGAGGCTCATTCACCGCCACTGCGGCGGCTACGGCATTGTTGCTGGTGGTGGACGCCCCGCCGTTTCCCTCCCCACCGCGCACCACCACACTAACTGGGGCAGGCCCCTCATCTTCGGTTTCATCGCTGCTGCTCTCTCCGAGGAGTAGACGCATGGCGTAGTCCCCATTGCAGCTGGGCGGCTGCCGGAACCGCCCAAAGACAAACACCGCAATCGTCACCACTGCAATCCCAAGCATAACGCTGAAACTGATACCCAGCGTAGACAAACTTTGGCCTTTTCTGTTTGCTGGGTGAAAGGGGTCCGGCAAGGCACGAATTTGAAACTGGGTAAACATGATTGGGGTGAAGAGAAACCCATTTCGATCTAAGAGGCCCGGGTCCGTGCCCGCGGCGCTGGGCAGCCATACAGGGCCATTTGAAAAGCACACATACACGTGGTCGCTCTCAGCGCGTGGTTGAAACTCGGCGACGGTCGCATCCTCTGGAAGCCGAAACACGCGCACGTCAGACGTCCCCGCGGCGTTGCCAATGCAGAGCGGGTTACTTGACAGCCGTGCGTAGCCATCTATCGGTGGGTGGAGCGTCAGGCGCAGCGGCGTGTTGATCGGCACCACCGCGTCAAGTTTAGCGACACTGGCGGTGTGTAGGCCACTACCGCGATAGAAGACGCGTGCAGAGGCCTCCCCGTCTGCGCCGAATCCGCCGAGTGCGAAAAAGGCCAACATGGTACCCAACACACCCGCGGAAAGCGGGAAGGCGAAGGGGGCGGACGCAGACACCGGAGGGGTGCTTGACGTCCCCAAGAGAGAATGCCACATAAGAGCGTTGCTGCCGTTCGTAGGAAGCCCGACACAGTTCAACAGCTCCTCCATGTCGAGGCAGTTGACGAAGCTGACGTTCAATATGAGGCACAGCTTGCCGTTAAACGCGAACAAGTACCGATTGCTTGAAAGGAAAGGGTTTCCTCCGTCAGCGTTCGGGTAGCGCAGCTCGAGGTTGGCAGGCAAACTCCGAACAACCAGGGTTGGAAGTGACGCATTGGCGCCAGGACTTGCACCGTCGCGGTCAAACACGCTGCCAACCATAATCGCCTGCACCTTCACAGAGGGGTGCCACACGGTGGCGGAGTGGCGGCTACAGTACGACAACGAGCGCTGCGTCTCCTGCGTCGCACCCACACACCCCCGCTTCACGTTTGCCTCCTCGCTGGGCACATCAAATCGTGTTTCACCTCCAGCAACATACATGAGTTCACTGTCCATAGCAACCAGCGGGTTTTGCACAGCCGCGTCGAGCCGTGCAGCCTCAGGTGTGTAGCGACGCGACCTTGTGTCATACACGTCCGCTGTGGCAAGGGCCTCGCCGGTGATAATGTCAACCCCTCCAATGATAAAAATGAGATGTCCACGTGAGCTGCATGTGGCATTTGCCCGAAATGGAATTGGCTTCGCCGCGCTCGTCCCACCCGTTTCTTTACCGCCAAACCTCCGCGGAATGCTAAAGTGATCCAGCACGCGCGTCAAGCTGCTGGAGAGATGCCAAATGCCTGTGTACTGCTGCCTCACAAGGGTTGAATCCAGGGGATTTTGGTGCTTAGGGAAGTAGTACCCACACGGGCCAACAACATAAAAGGAGAAGCCCTCGCCTCTTTCGGCGTCGACATCGTCTACGCGCACCATGGCGGTGGGTCCGGCCACTCGCATGGGAACCGGCGTAAAAGCTGCGCCATCGCCCAGATTCCCTGCGTTCAAGAAGATGGGCAACTCCACGAGTTTCGTGGGTCTCTGCTGGTTGGGGTCTATAATCTCCACCGTGTTCAGCGCCTCTGTGCACACGGGATTCTCGCAGCCGCCCACGGCAAAAAGTGAGGCATTCGCGAAGAGCACCGCACTGTGTGCGCGGCCAACCGTCATGGTGGCTCCAAACGGCACCCAGTCCCTGTCAATGTAAATGCCCGCGGCGGCAGGGGCGCCAAGAAGCACCACCGTCCATGCGGCGAGGCAGCAGATGAGCAGAAGCGTTAGCCGCATGATGGACCGCAGAGACAAAAACTGTAGTTTCTCGCGCCCCGCACAGAAGGAAGCGGCGAGCAGGCGTGAAAAAGAGTGGAGGAAAGCCAAGGCTAAGGGAGGGACAAATCGCAAAATAATAATAATAATAATAATAAATGTCCGACACGGATGCTATACACCACCGACAAGTGCGGATCTGCTCCTTTTCCTGTCACCCACTCCGCGCAGCCGCGAAGCTAGAACACTACAAATTATATATATATATATATAATTAAGAAACTTCTCTTCTTTGCGCCCCACCACCTCCCGCTAGACCGCACAGAAAGGGAAAAAAGGCCAACACACGGGCGAAAGCAAAGCAGACGAGAACAGCAGCGAAATGCAGCGACGTGCGCCGTCACTGCGCCCACTTGACGTCACTTGGGACTTTTGTTGCTTTTGTGTTAATTTGCTATAGACAAACTCCCTCGAGACTAGCGGCATGCATGTAAAAAAAAAAGGGGGCGCAAGCACAAATAAAAAGACAAGTAAGCGCAGACCGTGAATAAAAAGGCAACACACATACATACATACACAGATAGATAGAGAGAGAGAAAAAAAAAGTGATGTATTAATCTCAGAAAGCGCATCAGATGCAGACGGAGGAACAAACAACCACATCCACACCTCTCGGTTAGTAAGGCATAAATGGTGGATGCTATATCCTCGGTAGGAGGGGACCATATAACCATAGCGAATAAAACGATAGGGAGAGAGAGAGAGAGAGAGAAAGAAATGTGTTCCGAGGTAACACACGCGACAAGAGAACAACAAGCATGACGAAAAGGGAACAAAAATAAAAAGGAAACGGACAAAAATTAACACAAAGAACAAGTGGAAAAGACATCGAAGGAACGCAATAAATGGATGGGGCGTGCATACTGGCAGCCGCGCCGCCTCAGCGAAGAGGCGTACATGGACGCTCATGACGAGTTGAATCACGACGTCGGCTCCTTCACGATGGTTGGGTTTTAACCACGGGAGGGAGCGGCAGGACCCCTTTTCTTCGTCGTTGACAGCCTCCCATCAGATGTCTCCGTCGAAAGCACTTCCACACTGAGGCAATCCATGGACACAGCCTCCGGGCTCCTATTCTTGCCGTCAACGTTCTCCGCACTCCGCAGGCTGGACTCGGCCGCAGCTGCTGGTGGCAGTGCTAAGGGCAGCGGCGATGGATCCCTGTCCCCCGTTACGCCCAGTGCGCCAGATCCTCTAAGCGTCGCTGGGACCGAGAGCGAAAGCAAAGACTGGGACTCCCGTGCAACGAAGAAGTCGCACTGTTCACTGTCCTCAACTATGGCCTCAAAGTATTTTTCTAGCTTGCGGCGCCGCCGATCCTTCTTGTTGGCGGCCGCGTTAGAAACGCGTGAAAGGTCGGGTGCGTTTTCCTCGCGGAGGGGTCCGTCGGCCGCGTTGAATGAGTGTTGCTGCTGGGAATATCCCTGACTCGACTCCGGGCGTGAATAGCGACCAAAGCTGCTCTTCTGTAAGGTGCCGCGTGAAGTGGCTGCTCCCGGTGGGGGGTGCACAGACGCGTCACGGTCGGCGCGCGTCGTCGCCACGGCACCACCCGCGCCACTGCGGTCACTTCCCATGTTCTGCTGGTCTCTGCCGTCGGGCCTCACTGCGTCCTCCCGCGGCGGAACCGCGTTGGCCGCGGTGGGTGTGGGTGTCGCCAGATTTTCTGGTGTCTGGCCCCCGCCAACGGACGGGGGCGCCGTGGGCGATGGACGGTTTCCGACGCCGCCGTTCCTGCCCAGTTGGAGGGAGCCGGGGAGACTCCTCCCGCCGTGGCCGCGGCTGCTGACGGCCTGCCCGCCACGACTACGGCCCTCCGCACCGGCGTCATCACTTCCCTCAGCGTCATTGTTGCTGTTGTTGTTGTTGCCCACGCCCTCGTCCTCGCTATCGTCGTCGTTGTCCTTGTAGAGAGCCACCATGACGCTCTCGCCATTGACGCCCATGACACCTTTTCGTCGCTTGCGAATGAGCCGCAGCGCCTCTTCGGCGCTCGGGCGACGCACAGGATCCGGCTCAAGCAAATACACAATGAAGGCCGCCAGTGCCAGGCTGTATCCATACACCTGTGTTAACTCATTAATCAGCTTCTTCTTAAAATCTGGCCGACTGCACTCGCTAAACATCACCTTCACATTGTCACTCTCCACACGCTTTGCGCAGGCCGCATAAAGAATACATCCTGTAGCCCATATGTCCACCTTTGTCGAGTAGCGCCGCTGCCAACACTCCGGCGCCACGTAGGGGAGGGAGCCAACCCCTGTTTCACAAAACGTTTTGTCCATCACACGTGAGAGACCAAAGTCTGTAATGACAATTCGCAGAGGCTCCGCGCTACCGTTAGGTCCACGGCCCTCTTTCCACCGCTGGCCGCGCGCGGTGTCGGATTCAAGCAGGATATTTTCCGGTTTCAAGTCGCGGTGAATGATGGGGGGTTCACGGTGGTGCATAAACTGCAACACTGTTAAGATCTGAAAGGCAACACTCATGATGGTTGTTTCTGGAATCATCGGCTCTGACTTCTGCTGCCTAATCCACTTCCCAAGATCCCCCTTCTCGTGATACGCCATAACAAGCGAGAGGTACCGCTCGCTCGGGTTCGTCACAGCCACCGCGCCACGTTGAGGACAGGCAGGAGGAATTTCACTGCCGTCATCCACACGTACCATGACGGACCCATTCGGGGAGTTCAATTGGTGCTCAGAACTCTGTTGCCACCCTCCACCAGCGTGCAGATCTGTGTCAAAGCGGTATGACATGAACATATCCACCAGACGAATCACATTGGGGTGTCCCTGCAGAGTGTAGGCAACCTCGCACTCCCGCATAGCCTCTAGGCGATCCACGTCATCCGCACACTGGAGGTACTTCAGCGCAAATCGCTGACCATCCGCCACCCGCTCCACGAGGTAGACGACGGAGAAACTCCCTCTCCCAAGACGATGCAGCACGCGGTACTTGCCATCCAGCAGGCTTTGCTTTTGATGCGCAGTGAGGGCGGCACCACGGCCCACGCCACGGCCATCACCGTTTTCATCTTCATCATCGCCATATTGCAAGAGTAAACGCCGTCGCTCCGCCTCGACAGCGCCCATTGCTCTGTTCTGCTTCACGAGTTGGAACAACCCAGCCGAGACAAGAAGCATGGCAACAAAAGTTGATATCACCAGCGCAGCGATACTGCCGTAGGACATTTCTTTATTCGGTACTGGGGAGGGCGGCAGCGTGGTCGTCGTCGTCGCATCAGGCACCCAATTTGTGACGGGGGAAAGAACAAATGGCTTCTCAGCATTCAACGCAGTGTAAAAGGCAGTGGTGCAGGGTTTCTTTCCAGCCTTTTCTCCGTCCCATGTCGCCGTATTCACGCCACGCTCGCACTGCGGCAGAACAAAGGCCCCACTCGAGAAGCATACATACAAAAAGCGTTGCTCATAAAATGTTCTCGCTGTATTGTTTCCGTAAACGGGCACTGGGCGGCGGTGGCGACGGCGACAATGCTGTTCCCCAAAGGCGTAAGCATCACTGAAGCCATCGGAGCCTGTTCCATCTCCAGTAAGGTTAACGATGCCGTCTACGAGGGAACCTATAAGTGTTACAGGTCCCACCGCCATCGTTGTTTTCTTTGAAACAGTATTTGTTTGTGGATCCACCTCATCCACGGTGTACGGCCGTGTGTTGGCAGAGGACAGGTTACCAATGTCCAGAAGACGCGAATTGCACGTGGGCGACTCAGAGAGACGTAGCAGACACGGCGATACGCGATCGAGATGGGTGTCTGTCGCGTAGTTACTGGGTTGGATGAGGCCAGGACAGGCCTGTGCCAAGCTCTCGGAGAGTAGGATGTTAAACGTAAAGTTGTACCACAAAGGCTCATACCCGTTCACCAAGACGGTGATGTTGCCGTCGTTGTTTGGCAAGTCTTTGGGAGGAGGCGGTGGCGGCGGTGGCGGCGGTGGCGGCGTTGGCGTTGGCGTTATGGACGGACTGATGCTTGGTGTGACGCTTGGTGTGATGGTTGGTGTGATGCTTGGCGTAGTACCCGACGAATGCGAGGGCGTGTGCGTTTCCACGGCCTCAGAATCCCCCGCTTGCATGGACGAAGGCGAATTCGCCACCGCTTCCTCTCCGTGCCCCTCTTCTTCGGCTACCCCCGCCTCTGCCTCGTCTCTCGCGCGGTTGTAGGCCCCGCTGGGGGGCGTTGTCTTCTCATCCTTCATAAATATTTGATGCCCCGTGCGTTGCGGCTCCCTCTGCGCCGCCACCTCCCACGTGTCCTTCGCGAGGGAAATGTAATGAAACCCAACGACGCTCACCGCCACGTGTCCATCGTCAACAAGCATCCTTCCGGTAAAAATGTCAAACGAAATGCCCGCTCCGTCCGGCGGTGGGATTTGGCCGCCGACGAGATAGGCAGTGACGCCGCCCACGTCGGTCAAGGACAACAGGGCGGCGTTGCTGCGCAGCGGTGGGAAGTGAATGGGCACGGCTTCCACGACTTCGTACAGGTTCAGGAGATCTTTCCATACTTCTTGCCGATCGAAGGAGCGGTCATTCGTAGCCCCCATCACGGCGAGTGTGTGGTTATACATCATAAGCTGCGGTGAGAGCCAATCGGGCCCCCACGCATCGGCGTAGCTGCCAATGTTCGTCTTGACCAGCGAGGGGTCAATGACAGTCACCATGCGACTGAGCACGAGACCACCCTGCGCGGTTTCCCGGTAGCCACCGGCAATAAACACGAGACCGCTGCTTTCAAAGACACCAGGTGCAACAATCGGATCGTCAAGGAGCAACCCCGCTTCGACAAATTGTCCCGTGACCACATTGTACTGAGACACAGAGGCCAATGGCACCATCTTCTCCAGGGAGACCCCACCAACAATGTAGATGATATCCTCACCGCTCCCGACACAGCTGGCATTGAAACGCAGCAGTGCCTCCTCTGGGAGACTTGTGTTCCGTATATCCATTGTGACATCATCCAGAGGAGGAAACTCCTCCTGATACAGCCGCAGCTCTTGCACAGAGCGGAGAAAGGCATGAAATTCGCCGTCCCGATTTACCATCACATTACTAGGAATCATTGTGCAAAAACCTATGACGTACGCTGCCGGGCCAAGCCGAACTGTATTTGCAGTCCCAACGGCAGGCAGCGTCAGTTGCGCGGGGGCACGCGGTGGTAGAGGCGGCGGCGGCGGCGGCGGCGATGGTGGGGGAGCAGGGGGACCTGGCGCAGTATGATCAACCCCGGCTGACTCATTGTGTAGGAGCATCCACGGCAGCACGAGTGTCCCCGTCGTTACATCCACCACATTGATTGTTGAAAGGGCGCATTGACGCAAAAACACCAACGCCGGGGTGTATGGCGGGACAATGGCAGAGCCGCCAATGATTACTAAATAACGCCCCAATGTAACAGCGGAGGGGAGAATGCCAGTGTTGTTCATCTTTACTGCGGTGGCGCTCCAGCCCTTGAAGCTGACGCGGGTCTCGCCTAAGCTGCCCCTTGCGCCAGCTGCCGCCGCGTCGATGCCCAGCGACCGCCCAGAGCCTATGGGCACCGCAAGGAGCAAATGTAACACGGTCAACGCCAAGAACAAATTCATCCGCAGTGAAACCTGCGTGACCGACGATCTTCGCTGTTGCGTGGCGATGGGGGCAAACTGACAGCCGCCGCCGCCGCTACCGCTATGGTGTTCAACGGAAATGGTGTAGTCCAACCTCTCCAAAGAGGAAACGACCCCACTACGCATATTTGATTAATTTTCGCTCCTTCTATTCATCCTTTGCGCACTCCGTACACCACAATGCCAATGGACGCGACGGAACCACACACACACACACACACACACACACACAAATACACAGGAGAAGAGGAATAGAGAGAAAGAGGGAGAGAGGCGCACATACAGACATAAATACATGAGAGAAGAGAGAGAGAGCGAGATAGAGAGGCAGCTGGATATATAATTTAGAGAAACAACGACACACGTATCGTATGCATGTGTGTGTGTGTGCATGTAGAAGACGGCGCGTATGGATATGAGGCAAGCCACACCATGACACTCGCATCTTTGTGCACATTTCCTACTCTCGTTTTTCTTGCTTTCCCACCTCCTCACAGTCATCGGAGCAAATTCGAAAGAAACAAGACGAAAAAACTCTGAAAAAAAAAGGACTGGAGTGTGGAGAAGTGGGAGACTTGGTAACCCGCCTCGTACGGTTTACGTGCCTTCCCCCTCCACCACGTTGCGGTCCCCCTAAATGTGTTTTCTTATTCAGTAGTGTAGCTTCCATACTCCTTTCCTGCGTTCTCTCTCTCTCTCGTTTTTTTTTTGTTTTACCCCCCTGTCGTTAAGTGCCGCAACGGGCCCCTAACCTCATGCTGTCGGTCTGTGCGGGCGCCGGATTACACGCACGCACCGGAAAGGATCAAGGAAGACCAAGGAGGAAGGAGGCGCGGGGAGGTGCATAAATAAAACAGGGCCTTATTGACAGCTGTTGTTTTATCCTGAAACATTTTGTAAATAAGTGCATAAAATGAAAACGAAAAGTTTTATCTATTAATAACGTGCTTACATCGGCCCGACCACCCCGCCCCAGGCAGGAAAGAACAACAACACCTATCACCCCCGCTCTCTCCCTCTCTCTCTCACACACACACACTCGACCGCTCCCTCCCGCTTTCTCTCGCCGTATGCGTCCGTAGACACTTTTTTCTTTTTTGTTTCCTTTTCGTTCTTTTTTTTTCTCTCCCAGCCTTTTTGATTATAATTCGTTTCTTTTCCGTGCTACTTCTCGAAGAGTGTCCTGAGCGTGTTTTCTGTGTGCATCTTCTCAATAGCGCGGGCAAGCAGCGGGGCGATGGGCAGTACCCGGAGTTTTCGTGCGATTAGTGGGTTCTTGAACGCCTCGTCTTGGTTTACACTGTCGGTGACAACGACGAGGTCGATGGGGCTGTTGATGAGCCGCTCCTCGGCGCCAGCGGAGAGGAGGAAGTGCGTCGCCATGACGATGATGCGACTTGCCCCAGCCTCATGCAGCTTCCACGCCGTGCGGCAGATTTTAACCGCCTCGTCAATAATGGTGTCGACAATGATGCAAATTCGGTCCTTGACGTCACCCACGAGTGCCACGCCCTCGGTTTGGGCGGGGTTTTCTAGGTGGCGTTCGCGAATGGCTCTGGCGCCCTCCTCCTGTTGCCGCAGCGCCTGCTCGTAGGCGTAAATGCCGTTTGCGCCACTAGGACATGGACTTACTCCATCAGGTGGAGACAAAAACGCATTGAGCACCGTTCCTGCTCGTGGTTGGCGTTGCCGCATCATGCCCTCAGCGCCGGGGAACTCACCAGTCGGATACGCAGCGGTGAAAAATGCTTGCGTGGCTTCTGGCGGCATGCGGCTTGTGTGTGCCACCACCTCTGGGTCGGGGACCTGATTGAACTGAGCATGGGGGGAGAGCCTGAGATCAGAAGGCGCTGCAGCTGCCGCCGCCTCTGCCGCCGGGTCACGGGCCTCAAAGGCTCCGGGCGACACGTGTGTCAAGGGGGGCGACAGCTGACACACATGGCGGTGGACTACCGTGCAGACGGGGACAAACTGATCCTCACTTGACAACTTCTTGTAGTTCATCAGGGCATCTGCAAAACACTTTGCGCGGTTGACGGAATTGCCCGTGGGTGCCACAACCGAGATGTTGCGGAAATCGTGCCCCTCGTTTGTCAGCTGGGTGGCGATGAAACGAACAAACTCGTACCTGGCAGATATATTTTCCAGCGGCACAGAGAACATCCCTTCCGTCTGCTCGTTATACATATCAACGGTAATCACGTGTTGGCAGCCCATCTTTTCAAGCAGCTCTGCCACGAGTGCCATTGAGGAGACGCTGCTAGAGTAGGCGAGGTACGGGATGACGGCCGTTACCCGGGCGGCGGAGCTTAGCTTTGCCGTATGCAGCACCAACGCCAACTCCATGAAGGTGCCAGAGAGCGACAGGCCAATTTGATCGCACCGTACCATAGACTGAAGCACGAACACATCATCCCCGCGCAGGGTTCGAGCGAACTTTACGTTCACCTCCCCATTCGGAAACTGACTGCAACACGGCGGGAACCGTGCACACTGCAACACCTCACATATCATCTTTTCACAAAAGACGCTCGCGTCCCCGGATACAATGCGCACCGCAAAGTTTCCCTGTCTTTCCTGGTGTGGAAAGTTTAGCGTAAAGAAAAATGTTTCGCTGTGCGCTAGGATACGGCGGCTGTTGACCCCAGCCTTGTATTCATAGTGGCTTAAGTGTGCCACTGTCTCCTCATAGGTGAGGCGATACACCGTACCGTAGAGTGCAATCAGATCCAGCGCAATACGGCGAATGTCAATGCGTGGTTGTGCGATGGCGCTGTTGGCGATGATATCGTCCACAACCTTCAGATTCTGTTGCAACTCCAAGCTATCGCATGCGCAGCGCTCCAGAAATTTTTTCAAGATCTTGCGAAACGCCGCAAGGTTGAGGGAGCGGTAGCGCAGGATGGTCTGAACATTCACGTACAGCTGAGCAATACATTCATCCGGGCGTGCGCGGATCTCCTCCTCCGTCAGCTGCTCCAACTCACGCACCCGCACCAGGAGGTCATCCTCCAGCTGCCACAGGTAACTCTTCACCTTTAGGAAGGAGGCCCGCAGCTCCTCAAAGAATTTATTCTCCAGTTCCAGCCGCCGCTGTTTCATGGCCACCAGCACCGCCTCATCCTCTGTTCTTGATGCGGCCTCCGCGGCACCCCCCTGCGATGCGGACGAGAGCGTGACTGAAGTCGCCTCGGCCGCCGCCAGTGCCCTCCGCTCGTCGATCTCCTTTCGCAGCTGCTCCACCGCCTTGGCTATCGGCTTCAGTTCAAAGTAGGCCACGTAGTTATCGAGGGTGATGTCCGTGTTGTACTCCGACAGGAGGCGCCGGTGAAACGCCTGCCCCTCCGAAACTCCTTTGCCTGTCAGCAGCATGCCTCAAAGGGCACAACTTCTCTCAACCCAGCCTCTCTTGTATATATATATATATATATATAATTCCCCTTCTTCCTTAAACCTTTGTGGTGCTTTCTCTAAAAAACTTCCTCGCGTGCTCTCCCACCTTCTCGCGTGTGGCTGCTTGCTCTCACTGTCGCGGAGTGCGGCGGAAGCGAAAGTTCCAAAAAAAATTTCCTTTTACCCTTAATTTAATATACTGTTCTTTTTGACTGGCAACGTTGTGCCCGCCGCAGAGGGACCAGCGCCGCGCCCGCTTGCCGCACGCACGGCATTCAATCGTGGACAGCGAGAGAGAAAAAGAGAGAAGTACGACACGGAGAACGCAGCCGGCAGTAGGGGCGGGCAGCACACCGCGCAGAACAGAAGAAAAAAAAAGGGGGAGGGGAGAAATGGTGGAGTGCTGCAGTCAAAAAATCCCGCGCGCACCCAAAGCAAAACCCTCACACAGACACAAACATCGGGGGGTGTAGTAATATACGTGAGCGCCCTCGGAGGAGACAACTAGCCAGCCCCCTCAAACAGGATTTAAAAAAAAGGGGCAGAAAACAAGAACATCAACAAGGAGCACGAAACACGGCAAGTAAAAATGGTTCTATTGAAGACTCTCTGAGGCACTAGCAGTGATAATTGAGCACACGTCGGGTAGATGCTGCAAGAGGAAATCCACACTTTGCCGTTTGCGACGCAGTTCATGGCCACTGTGATGGACATCCTCCTCTGCTTGCTCCTGCCTGTGATGCGCGGTGTGCTGAGGCCGCGAGTTTGTTAGGGGGCGTCGCAGCAGCAGGCTCCGCACGGCCTCCCCGCGATATCCCGTAATTCTTCTGGGCTCCTTCCCCGTGGCATCCGCGGCTGTGGCGTGGGCGGCTACTGCCCACTGACCGAGTGCTGCCATTTTCTCTTCCCCGCCCGACCGGGCGCCATCGCCGCTCGCCGCATCGTCGCCCGGAACATCGCCTGCGGCATTTTCCCCACACAGATCCTGCTTGCATTCTAATGGGGCGACAGAGGACGCCTGGTGGAGTCGATGCAACAATGACTGTTGCTGCTGCTGGATCAACTGGTGGTACGCCGCAGCAGCGCTTAGCTCCGCCGCGGTTGCTTCTCCCCATGGCTGCATTTCTTTCCCACCTTTTCGCCCTTTCTTATGGCTCGTGTGACCAGCTGCAGCTCCGCTCACGCTCTGTGCCTCTGCAGCAACCCGTGACGCACCCACAACGGCCTGGCCTGCAGTCTTGCAGCCGTGATGCAGAAGCCGTAGAAACACAGGCAAAAAAGAAACGAGGCAAACCCTGAATCAGAAGAATTCAATCAACTCCCCCTCCCCTCCTCCCTCCCACTTTCTCCCACACTTTTAGCCGCTGCGTTTGTGTACAGCTAGGCAAGCACATCAGAGGCATCCCACACACATGCATGTCGGCCAATCAAGGAAGAAGAAGAGCATATCATATTCACAAGGACAGGGACGGCTTGCCCACTCGAGATTTTTATATGACGAAGAGTTCGCGCCTTCCAGGCTTCCCCCCACCCACATAGGCACATCCTTATCCGCGGTATTCATTCGCTGGCAAAGAGGAAGAGGGCGAGAGGGCGGGAGCTAGCGGCAAAAAGGCGTATATCCACAACCACTTTGGAAGCATTTGCAAACAACCACTCCAGCTCGCCCTTGCTTTTGCGTGTTGCCTACGGTGCCAACATAACAGTCACAGAGACAGAGGCGTTGTTATACACGCCTTCACCCGGCAACTCCACTGCGACGGAGGAAAAGGCGGCGGCCCACCCAACGACATCCGTCCCACCCTTTTCTTCTGGCAAAGTAAGAAACTTCCGGGCCTCCAGCAGCAGCGCCGTGGTGGAGGTCTCTCCCTCCGTGGCCGGAGACGACGCAAGCGAGGAAGTCGTAGCCGTCGTTGTGTTGCCTGGCAAAGGGCACACGCCGAGGCGTACACGCAGTGGTTCCATGGCGCTCAGGTCGTGAAAGAATCCCTCACCTTCCTGTGGCAATTTGCCACTTGGCCTCAGCCTGCTGATATTGCTGGCACCGCTGCGACGACTGTCGGCCACGGTATCACGCGGCTCTGGCCCCTGTGCCTCCTCCTCCTCCTCCTGCTCCTCCTCCTCTTCTGTCGCGTCTCGACTGCCGGAGCGGCGGGGACGCTTCCTGGAGGAACGAGAGCCCTCCTTCTGCAGCGGGGAGATCCCCGACAAACGGGGCGATGGCGTGACCGACCCCGCCGCCCTTGAGGAGCGCGCTTGCGACGACGTTGGCGTTCTTCCCCGGCCCGCTTGCGTTGCTTCTTCTCCATCCACCTCGTGTTGTTCGCCTTTCCGCACGAGCGCGTCTTCGTCCCCCGCCACGTTGACAACATCGCTAGTGACTCGAACAGCTCTTTTTGTACCGCGGGCAATTTGCTTCGGTGGCATTTTTTTTCCTTTTTTCCCCACTTTCCGATCTTTCCCCTTCCCGCGCAAAAAAAGCGTTCCACACAAACCGAGATGGCCCAAGACGAAGTAAAAGTCCTTTTTTTTCTTCGTTTGGCCTTGTTTTTGAAGCTTGCCTCCAAATCTGACCTTTATTGCACTACAGCACGAACACCACACAGGATAGATAGAGAGATAGAAAGAGAAAGAGAGTATATGCTGGTATGGCTGACGAAATGCAGTGGGATCCGTTGAAGGATATACAACATGAGCATTACAAATGTAAGCAACGTCACAGACGACGATGCTGCAGACAACGGAAGAAAAAAGAGAAGCAAGAAGAAGTATAGAAGACCCATGTGTGATGGTAACTGCGGGATATCTGTTGTGTCCCAAATTGCGTGCGGGCACAGGTAGAGAAGTGTGGGGGAGGGTTTAGCACCGATAATAAGAGCGGCGCGAGTTCCAGCATCGCCACCCAGTGGTCCAGGGACACGCATATGCGGGCAAATGTCTGCTGCTTCCTCATTCTTGGTCGCATCTCTCTCGCTATGTGTGCATATGCACGCACGTGCGGTGTTTGCCCCTGAGTGTCCTTTGTGTCCCGCTCGTCCTTCAGGCAGATGCATATGCGCGTACATTTCTGTTCCCTTTCCCTCTTGCGTTGCTTTATTGCACTTCCACAGTCATCGAAAGAGCCCACCGCCTCTTTGCATTTCGCCCCTTTGTTTTCATAAGTTTTCTTTTTTGCGTTTTTTTGTTGTTGCCTCTTTCTCCTTTTCCCATTTAGTGCCGATTCAGTTTGGATGAGGCGTCAGCCTTTTAGTTCCAGACCTCTATTACTTTTTGGCGGCCTCGTTGGAGCCACTGAATTGCCGCAGTGTGGTGATGAAAGCCTTTAAGTGGGAGTTTATCTCCCGCATCTTCTCCGCGTCCTCCGCCCTGGGCGGCTGGCCACTCTGCATCAGCTGCTGAATGCGCATCATCTCCTGCCGCAGGTGCGGAGGGAGGGACTGAAACGCCATTTGCATTTCCATCACCTCCTGCGGATTGGGGGCCCCGTGGCCGTGGCAGTGCCCGTGGCAGTGCCCGTGATCGTGGTCGTGGTGATGTCCCTCGCCCCCGCCGCGCAGCAGCGACGCAAGTGACGGCGTAGAGGCGCATATCGACACCATCTGCGACTCCTGCAGCATACACATCTGCCTAATCATCCCTTCGGTCTCCTTGTCTGGGAAGTGCAGCACGGCCTCCCTCAGCTGCTGCAGCGTGGCCGCCCCGTCCCGCGCCGCCGCAGTAGCGCCCTCTGCTTCTTGCTCGTTGGCCCCACGCTTCCGTGTGGACGCATAGCTGGCGAGAAACTCCTCCTGCAGGCCCTCGAAGAGGGCCATGAGCTCCGTATCGCTCGTGGGGGCCGGCTCCCGCTTGACCGCCTCGCGGAGCTTCTCGACAAAAGACGGCGTCTGCATGTACGTCGTCATTGCACGGACGAAGTCGTGCACCTCCTCCCGCGACAGCGACATGTTGTGTCGGCAATGAACTTCCCAAATGTGCCCCTGAAAGGTAGGGCGTGCGAGGAAGAAGAAGAAAAAAGGAACAATGAAATAAAGCCTCGCCGTCTCTCCTCAGCTCTAAAGAAAAAAGAAAACAGCATCGGGGCGTTTCGCCACGCGAAGAAACAAGTAACAGAACGCACCAAAAACGGAGACCTTTTTGTTCCCCGCTTTTTCCTTAAAAAAAACTTATTCATTCTTTCCTCTATTTCTCGACAGCGCCCTTCTGCGTGAAGGTGTATGCGCCTGTGCTTCCTCGTGTGCGCCCACCCACGAGGCAGAACAACAACAATAAACAAAGCGGCCGGTAAATGAAAACAGTGAGGGGGAAAGGGTCCTCCGTGGGAACACACACACCCGCCGGCGCAGGCACGTGCGCACGGGAGCAATGCCGCAAACCAGCACACAGAGAGGGGCAGCGAGAGCGAACAATAAGGAACTCTAAGTACCACAGCTGCGCGACGCTGTGGACATTAGCAAAGTGTATTCCCACCTGTCTGCTCAACCATGGCGTCAATCACGTCATCGTCCTCCATGCCGAGGTCCTGTGGCGTCTTGGACTCGTCGATCGGTGAGCCGTCAAACAAAAAGCGGACACTACTGCGCGAGATGCCCTGCTTCTTGCAGTAGGCGTCAAAGAGCTTCTTCAGCTGAGTCCCGCACTTGATCTTAAAGAACATCTCGGCGCCGTCGGCATTGACAACCTTGATGGAGACCAGAGGCGTTTCCGTCTTCACAGCCGGCTTCTCCCCCGCCTCGCCATTGTTGTTGTTGTTGTTACTTTCATTGGCATGATTGCCCTCCATTTGACAAGACTTACAAACACGCACGCACACGTCTTTGTCTTCTCAAATCGCCCTATGCCTTTCTCTCCGCTGCATTAGGCGCCCACGTGGCAGAACAACAACAAGAAAGAAAGCGGCCGGTAAACGAAAACAGTGAGGGGTAGAGGGTCCTCCGTGGGAACACACACACCCGCCGGCGCAGGCACGTGCGCACGGGAGCAATGCCGCAAACCAGCACACAGAGAGGGGCGGCGGGAGCGAAAAAGCAGGATGAAAAACAAATGGGTAAACACTCCTCCGTTCAAAAAAAAGAAGAAGAAGCAAAGTCAACCCCTTCACTCATCACTTATCTCCCTGCTACATTGTTCGAGGAACGCACGTGCTGTGCCAGGTTGGACACAGCGGGTTGACTGTCGTGTCGGTGGTGGTGGTGGTGGTGGTGTTGGGCCCCAAAGAGTCGTCACACCGCTGATACCCATCCCCAGAGGACGGCGAGGGTTAAAGCAACAAATTTCACCCAGGGTTTGTTCTCCGACAAAATGGTCAAAAAGCCGGCGTGTGGGATGATGGCAAAGACTTTCCCCACGGCGTCCTCCTCTCGCACCCAGTGGTGCCCATCGGGGTAGAGCGTGCGGTCGTCAAAGTCATTGTTATCGCCCTTTGTGAGGAACAGCCGCGTGTCGCCGTCCTCGTGAACGCGGTGCACGCGGTGCACAATGGGGACGGTGCGACCAGGAAGGCCAAACACGACGACGTCTCCGATGGACACCTTTGTGGTCTTGTGCAGCAGCAACAAGTCACCACGGTAGTAGGCCGGCTCCATACTCCCGGAGAGCACCACCACAAGCGGGTTGGTGCAGTTCACCAGGACTCCGGTGGCATGCCACGCCACGAAGAAGGCGCCGAGCGTCAGCAAGATCGGCATAATCCCACTAATGTCCGAAAACGCGCTCATGGCGGACTTTACCTTGTCTACAAACTTCCCCATCATGCCCATGCGAGAAAGTTGGAGTCGTGTCTGCCTGCGCTCCCGCAGTTGCCGCAGCGCCGTGGCGTCGAGGCAAGTCGACGCAAACTCTGTTGTGGCCTGCATCGGAAGTGTAGTTCTTTTTTTTTCCCCCGCTTTTCTCTTTTGGCCAGCGAGCGGAATACACGAGGGGCCGAGCAACCACAGAAAGGCAGACGCAATGAAGGGCATGAGTGAATAATAAAATAAACAAACCAAAAGAAAAATAAACTGCGGGGGAGGAGGAGGAGGAGGCAGAAGACACCACCCAGCAAGGCATGCGGCAAGTGATCCTCACAGTTCAACGGACGGGGTGGGGGAGGGGAGCAAAACCGCAGCTTTACTTTTTGGCTATTTAAAATATGTTCCTGTACGCAGTTGCGCAATAATGTGTAACTACTGCATCCCACGGAGACCTTTACACTCGGCCTTCTTATCCAATTCTCATTCACCTTTTCCCGCTAATCATTTCTTGCAAACAGTTGCTTATGTATATTTCTGCTCTACTTCCTTCGTTTCGTGGCTTATTATGTTTACTTTGGGCTTAGGGAAAACACACACACACATGCAGCACCCTACCCGCCTCGTGCTTCACTGCTCATGTCGGCACCATGAAGATCTGACGCTCGCCATTGCCTTCCTCCTCTTCCACGCGTTCGGCCGCTTGCCGCAGGAGACTCTGTCCGTCGTCGTTGCCCACAGAAGCGTAGCTGAGATCGCACAGTGTCGCGTCCGACCACACAGGCCGCTCCTGCCGCAACACCGACGGTGCGTTGCGCCGTGGCAGGTGAATGCGCTGCAACGCCTTCAGGAGGTCCGCGGCAAGGAAGTCGAGGTCACTGCTGTGCGTCGTGAAGACGTCCATGTACGCGACGGACTGGCGGAAGAGACAGGACGTGATCGAGGCAAGACAGAGCATCTTCACGGAGGGAGAGGTCTGGACGCCGCCGTGGCTGTCGCCTTTGCCGCCGTGGCTCGCGTCCTTCACGAGCTGAAAGAAGAAGGAGGAGAGCTGATTCAGCACCACTCGACCCGAGTGTCCGCGTGAGACGCTTTCAAGAAATCGGGTGAGTAGCGCTGACAGCAACGCCGGCAGGAGATGCGGTCGCCGCCACAAGACACCAAGCGGGAGAAGTGTGCGTGTAAAGAGGCGCAGAACGCGGAGGAGCACCGCCTCCTCCAGGTGACACGTGTCACTCGACTCGACTAGGAGGGCATGCACAAAGCCCAGCTCGTGGTCGATGAATGCGTCATCGCAGTGAAGCGCTGGTAGCGGCAGGGCGCAGAGTTCCAACACTTGACACCACAACGCCTTTGCGGCGCTGTTGCGCAGGGCATTTGTGCCGCTCGCCACAAGCAACCGCTTAACATCCCCGCGCCACACACTAAACCGCATGTGCGGCACCGTACTTAGCTGCTGCAGGGAGGCGCAAGCGGCACTAAGCAACTGCTCGTATCTACTCAGGCACTGGGCGGTGAACGCGGTAGGAGGCGTGGGTGACGGCAAAACAGAGCACGCCGTGGAGAAGGAGGACGACGGTACCGCCGCATGCAGGAGGCTGTGCATGTACTCTTGCAGTAGTATGGGGGCAGCGTCGGTGGGAAAGGCGTGCAGAATAACAGGCATCACACGCAGTTGCCGCAACAGCCATCGTGTCGCTGCGCCGGTGAGGTACATCGCCTCATGCTGAGCTGCAACAAATGTGAAGCCGTGAGTTCCCCGTCGCCCTCCCGTCTTCCAGCACGACTCCGTTGCCACCAGCAACTGATGCATGACCGTATCGCATGCACAGTAGTCTTGCCGTGGGTCAAAATTGCTCAGCAGCGCGGCAAACCAACAATCACTATCCTTACTGGTGCCATCTTCCTTCCCCACGGCCACGGGGCGCTGTCGTCCCTCCTGCAGTAGGAACAACACCCACAGCACACGGAGCGCGGAATCGCTCTCTGAACTGAGCAGTCGTACGAGTACGACAAGGCTGTCCCAGCGCGTTTTCTCGTCTGTTGGGGCAAAGAGTTGGCATACCTCATCGTAGGCTCCTGAAATACCGGGGAATGCCATCGCTGCAGCGGCAAGACTACTGCCCAGGCGCCGACCAGAATGCTCCTCTTGCTGCCGGCGTTGGTGCGGTCGCTTCGTAGGCCCTTGGGGCAACACCGCATAGCCGCGAACCCGCTCGAGCGACATGTAAAGAGCGGTGAAGGCGTGGAGCAAAGGCTCATTTGTTTCTGTCTTAATGCTCTGTACTACCTGGAGAAAGAGCTTGCCCAGGAGGTCCATCCAGCGCACCGACACCGCGTGAAGCGGCCGCCCCTCGGCACCGTCGTGGCCGCCATTGTTGTGCCCCACTGCCACTGCATCATGCTCCTCCCCAGCGCCCTCCCTGTCGTCGTCCGAGGCCGCCGCCGCCGCCGTGTTTGTTGTTGTCTTTGCCAGCGAGCCTTCTTCGTTTGTTTCATGGCGAGGCCGCTTCCGCCCGGACTCCTGCGGGAAGGCCCCGTTCGCTGCTGCGCGGAAGAAGGCAATCGGACCACCACCCATGGCGCTGAGAAACGAGGACAACGCCGTAAAGTTGCCCGCGTCACAGCAGCGCCGGCACATCTCTTCCGCGACGGACACGGCGAAGAGGTGCGCCCGCGACGGGGGGCCTGCTGCAGCTCGCTCCCCGGAGCACACCTGGAGCGACGTTGTGTAAAGCCGCCACAGTATACCCGCCCCACACGCGGCCATCTCCTTCACTTCGCTCTGACGCACCAACACGACGGCAAACTCCTTGGAAAATACTTGGCCGACAAGCGCGTTGCACACAGCGGCGGTTCGCTTTGCCACAGTTTCGCCTTCATTCCCTTCCTCCTCCTCCTCCTCCTCCTCCTCGGCATCGCCGCCGCCTTCCCGCGCGTTACTCCTCTTCTCAAGCGGGCCAGCGTGAGTGTCCAGGACGGCTGCGGATGGAATGAAGGGCACTCCAATTACCCGCACGAAGGCTTCGTTTACTACGGTGGACTTCTCTCTACGAGTCTTGCGGCCCGCACGCTGCACCGCATTGGGTTCATCGGGTCTTAGGAGGGTAAGACGGAAGAGTGACTGAACACCCTCCTCGCACGAAAGAAAATCCGTAACCAACTCCAGAAGCCGACGTTCCAGCAGACATGTTCGCACGCGTTTCTTCTTCTTGCTATTTATATCCTCCTCCTCAAGGACCGCGTTCCCTGGTTGAATAAGCAGCAGCCAGTGCACGGCGCGCTGCAGAAGTGCGGGCCACTGGGGAATATGTCCAAGGCGACGCAGAACATCACCCAGGGCGGCACAGAGCTGCAGCAACACTTCTTCCTCTTCTTCTTCATCCGCCTCTGTCCTGCCCTCCACCTTGGCCAGCCTGCGGCAGCAGGCATGAACCTCGTCGTCTGTCACGCCCATGATGACTTCGCACAGCGCCTCCAGCAGGAAGCCGGCACAGCTGGTGAGACAGCGTGCAAGCCAAGAGACAGAACGCCATGCGGTGGGAGAAGCGGCGAACGTAACGCGCAACAGCCACACAAGTGCTCTACGAACGCGTTTGGGGCGACCGAACTGCACAATACATTTCCATTCGTCCTCAGTGAGGCGATCGGCAAGTTCCAAGGCGCGTGTAGTTTCTCCGTCAGGCAAATAGCCACCATCGCTGACAAAGCGCATGTGACACAGCACAAATGTCGTTAATCGTCTGGCCTCCGTTAATGGCTCCACCGCGACGTTTAGGGCTACGGAGACGGACCGCGCAAGTGTAAGGCGCTGCAGCACAAGCTGCGGCAACAAGGTGGCGCGATGCACGTATGGTGCGTGACGCATTTGTGTGGAAAGACTCATCATCGCATCCAGTTCTTCAATAGATAAAGGACCAACGAGGGCGCCCACGTGTGTTTGCACTTGCCACATCGTCTCCTCCATCATCTGTAGGTAGGCCTCCACGTTCTGAATGCCAAGATCCTGCAGGCAACCAAAGATAAGCTCTCGCGCCTGATAAATAGCATGCAGCGTGTACAGAACAAGACGGCGCTGCATCTTGGGCCGCACGCTGCCCTCGCCACCGGCAAAGGGCGAGGATAACAGTGCCGCCCCCGCATTCCGCCTCTTTTCAGCCTGCAACTTCCCGTCTTCTTCCGCCTCTGCTGCCGTCTCAGCGAAAAAAGTTTTGTGAAGGCGGTTGACCAAGAAGGTGGAAAGGGTGAGTTCCAGCTCCGCGGCACGCTCCAGGAGGGCAGTGGCGGTGATGGAGGTGGCAAGAACACCTTCCATTACTGTTGCCACAAGGTCAAGTATGAAAACAACTTCCTCCGGCAGCAACCGCGACAACTTCGTCGACGTCGCCTTTGCTTTTGGAAAGCCTTTTCCCGCCTTGCTCTCCGCCTCCGCGTCTTCACTTTCCTCAGCCTGGTCCTCCTCCGAAGCCCAGCGCGAGACGTACGTCAGCAGGTGTACAAGCAACTCCTCTGGATCAAGCGACATCCCACACGCCTGCAGAAGAGACGCCCGCACACGTGGATGAGAAAATATTTCATGCAATCCCGCCACCATAAGATCCTCTCCGTGCGCCTTCTCCACAGCCTCCATCGCGCCGCGCTCCTTCTTGACATGCGAGACAGCAGCGTCCAGAAGCATTGGAATTTGGTTGCTCTTCCCCAGCCGAGTCACCAGACTGATGAGGAATTCATGCAGCATCGTCGTCGTTGTAGCAAGGGAAGCGCCAGAGATGTTGGTGTCGCCCTTACTCTTTTGCGAAGGCACATCCATCGCCACATGGGCGGCAATGCGCAGAATCGCTGACACGTTCTGATCAATAACTTGCGGTGCAATTACCTCGTAGGCGGAAAGGCAACGCGTAATGGCCGACTCCACACTCCGCTCCGCCGCTTCAGGCTCGCCACGTGCAGTAAGCAGTTGCGGCAAGACAACCTTAGCGAAAAGCAGCCCAAGAACCTCGTATCCAAGGCCCTTGTTGTAGCGAATATCATTGCCGAGGTGAAACACAGCGGGCGTCGCGGCACCCGCGACGGCAGTATTACGGACTGCCGTCGTGTTACTCGAGAGTGCCGAGGATGCTGAAGGGGCCGCGGCAGTAATGGTGCTCTGGATGAACGCGTACAGCTCACCAATCGTACGCCACGCCAGTGTCTGAAGCCCAAAACGCTCAAGCATGGCGGCAACGCCAGAGTCACTGGCGGTTCCCATGAATCGTTGTAGCGCGAGTGTGACCTCCTCCAGGAGGATAAGCGGAAGGTTTGTGTTGCCGTCCTCAGACTGGTGAAAGTGCAATGCATCGTCGGTGTGGGAAGCTTCGTTGCGGGCCGCGTCAATGACAGAAAGGAACGTGCGGTATGAAGTCATGGATGTCTTTGACATGGTGGAGATCATACTTGCCCGGCTCACCAGTGAAAGGGCGCTCTGCTGCGAGAGCAGCGATTGCCGCTCATCCTCATCATCGTCGTTCAGAACGCCACCACTCACGTCACCGCGGTCAGCGTCCGCGGCAGCATTATTGTTGTTATCAGTATTATCATTATTGCTATTATTCGTGAGGATGCTACTGTGGCTGCTGCCACTGCTGCCAATGCGGTTGCCGCGTCCAGTGGCGTCCACGGCGGAGGATGTGTTGCCAGAAGCCTTCTGTCGCCGCTGCTCACGCCGCTCCCGCCGTGTCTGACTCTCCTTCAGCAGCACCATGCGTCGCTGCTCCTGAGCAAAGGCAGTCCAGCTTTGTTCCGCGCAGAAGCTGTGGTAGAAGAAAGGGATACTCGCCATCCACTGGACAAGGAGCAGGGCGGCATGCTGTTGCTGCTCCTCCGGTAAAGCCGCCACGGATCGCAGCGTCGCCTCTTCCGTCGGTGGTGTCGTGACGTGGGTGTGAAGCGCATATTCCGCGTTGTCGCGCACGTTGTTTTGCATGAGTTTAATCTCGTCCCCACGGAAATACACCACCAACCGCGTCGCACGGTTACACGCCGTGCTGGACACCAACGAGGCCAAGGTGCGCCGGTAACGCGCCACATCGAGGCAGCAACACGACGCCGGCGACTCCGCTACAACCGCATCGACCAAACTGAGCTTCTGGAAGAGGGTGAAGGGTGCAAACAGGGCCATTAAACTACCACACCGTGCAACGGCAGCCCACGCAACCATCCGTGCGGTAACAATGGCGTCCCTGTCTTTTTGCACGCTAACACCAGCGGCGCATGTGTTTGCCGCTTCCCTCGCTGACGTGCCTGTCGTCGTGCTTGTTGGGGACTTGCTTTTTGTCTTTGTGAGGAACCGGTGAAGCAGGGTTGGGCAGGACGAACGTCATGCAGTGTATTTAATGGCTGTCGTGCCCGGGCCGTGCGAAGCTGCGACGCGGCAGCAGCCACCAAGGCGGTGGCACTGCGGCAGATACCGTGCAGTGGGCCGCCTTCAGCCTCCACATTACTTGCGTCTGCCTCCCGCAGGATGGTGGCGATCAGGACGGTGTCGGCGGCTGCCGAAAGAAGATGCGCCAGCGCCTGCGTCACGACAGGCGATCCCTCGCTGCGATGATGGAAGTGGCGGCCGCAGGCCTCCGCGACGGCCTGCAGCAACCCCAGGAGCTCCTCTGCCTCCTCCAACCGGGAGAGGAAGACTTTGCCAACCAACGCCGCGGAATCGTCGCCAATCGTGTGTTTCTGCTTCTGCCTCTCCTCCGCCGTTTCCGTCGAGTGTCGCTGCTCGTCCAAGTGGTGCGCCACCAGCGCCGTGGCGAAACTGACGGCGTACAGCAGGGAGTCACTGATGACAAGTATGGGTGCCGGTGTGGCCACAGAGGCCGCTTCAAGGCCCTCCGGCCCATGCGCCTGCCTTTTGCCCTCCTCATCGCTACTGACGCGCTGCTGCTTCTTTTCTGCCTCCCCCTCCTCCTCTTCCTGCTGCTGCTGCGGCTGCTGGTGGTGCCTGTCGTCCAGCGTCAGGGCTGCCAAGCAGGTCCTCCACGTCGGCATGTGCGTCAGGGCGTACACGTTGCCACGTTTGGGGTCCTTGAGCGACGACTGCAGAAAGTCCTCGACGCTGCGGCGCTTCTGGCCAAGTTGGCCATAGCGCTCAAGTTTTTGAATGGCGGCACAGGAGATCATCCACTCTGCTCCTACCACACACTCACAGAGAGAGAGAGAGAGAGAGAGAGAGAGAGAGAGAGAGAGAGAGAGAGAGAGAGAGAGAGAGAGAGAGAGAGAGAGAGAGAGAGAGAGAGAGAGAGAGAGAGAGAGAGAGAGAGAGAGA